GTCAGTATCTTCTAGCCATGATGGCTAATCTCTGCCTCCATAGTCAGAATGTGTCTGAATACCAGTTTCTGGAAACTGCAGGAGGGGAAAAGTTCTGGTGAGCCCGAGTCCTCCCTGCAGGCTTCCCTTAGGCATCTGGTTGTCCATGTGAAAAGAGGATGCTGGATTAGATGGGCCATTGGCCTAATCCGGCAGGGCTCTTCTTATGTAATACGGTCATATAATTAATTAAAAGGAAACACTGACTTGGATATAGAGATCTCAGGAGTTTCATAGGACTATGTTGATGACAGAATGGGAATGGGATTCCTGTGCAGCACCTTGCCCATCCTGAAAGTATACTGGAGATGCAATGGCTACACACGAAAACAGCATGGGCAGTGGAATGTTCAGTTGTAGGGGGAAGGAAGGATTTATTGAAATGACCCCCCCCCTTTCTGTCAATGGGAGCCTCCACTGGATCAATTGGCCTTAAGGTGTCCTGCAAGAGGAATGCTGATCCAGATGAAGGACCTAGTTCCTTAGGCCCAGAGGGTGATGCCTTTCTAATCTGAGGAATACTTCAAAAAGCTGTATTTTGTGTGCTGATAACAGACAAAGAACCCAAGCATGCTTTGTTTCTGCAAAAAGTTACTGCAGTGCCAAGAGACTTAAAATTGGATGTGGAATGAATAGATGTCCTAAATATATTAAAAGTGAAACACGAAGCTGAAGCATTGCTGTCCAACAAATGCATTGCTAAGTCTGCTATAATTAGAATGTTCCTTAATTAGAGCGCTCACACAATAATGTGCTCTCCTTCATTTTGAATTAAGCAGCTATATTCTCTACTAGGAATAAGGGTACCTGCCTTTTACTGATAATTTTTAATGCAGGCAGGAAATAAAGGCTTAATCATAATTCTTGGATAATATGTTCTTCTGTCGTATCATTCACAAACCTCATGTTTGCCACTTGGTGTTCAGTAGTTATATGTTTTCCGTTGTAGCAGGCAAATGCTATTACGGTCGGACAGATTACTTGCAGTGCAGGGAAGGGAACCAGATTGAAAACAAGGGTTGATCTCTAGTTTTTCAGTGGGTTTTTATTGGATTTTATTATGATTATTTATTTTTAGAATTCAGTGAGTAAGATTTCATTATGACTACCCTTCCCCTGAAATGCCTGGCACCACTTCACTCATCATTGTTGGTCCTGCATTTTTTGAGCACTTATGGAACTTCCTTCATTCTTCTTGTTCCATTCAAAGACTTGCCCCTTCACACATCTAACATCTTGACAAATACCAATGCCAGATCTCCTTCCCAGAGCTAGGCCTCCTTTCCCACCACTTCTGCAGCTGACGTAACTGTTTATTTGTGCCTGTTCTTTCCTTTCCGTCCTTTAACATTAGATTCCTCCCTACCCCCGCCAGAGTATCAGGTGATACTAGCCCAAAATGTTACTACAAACAAAATGTCCTTCCTTTCTGCTGCAACAGCAAAGAAAGTTTGGGGAGGTACCCTGAAGGTCATCAAATCCTTGCTGGATGCAGTTAGAGCTTCCCTGACACGTGTCTGTCCAACTCCTCCTTAAACAGGAGATCCCACTGAAGCCATATGTTCAACTGTTGAGCAATTCTCACCACTAGGAAATCTGCTTCCCTGGAATCGCCACACATTTGTTCTAGTCCTGCTTTCTGGAGCTATAAGAAAACGAGTCTCCTCCACCTTGCATGTAGCCCTTCAGATATTTGAAGACCTTAATATTCTCTCATGTAGGCTAAACATACTCAGCTCTTTCAACCATAGGACTTGGTATCCAAACCATTAGGGCCATTCTCCTCTGGACACACTCTGCTTTGATAATGTGCTTTTTTTTATTATGTGGCACACAGAACTGAAGACAGTACTTCAGAGGTGATTCAACTGGAGCAGAATAGAGTAGAACTATTGCTTTCTATTCTCTTTTGTAGTAGCTGCATCACACTGCTGTCTCATGTTCAGCTTGTAACAAAATAAGACACATAGACCCTTTGTACATGTAAGGCTGTCAAGCCAAGTCTCCCCCAGACTGAAATTATGCCTATGATTTTTTTTGTATGTATGAGGTTTTTGTGTGTGTGTGTGTTGAACATCTTGTAGAATTTTAAGCATAACGCTAGCAAGGTTATGCTTAAAATTCTACAAGGAAGGCTCAAGCAGTATGTGCACCGAGAACTCCCAGAAGTGCAAGCTGGATTTCGAAGAGGCAGAGGAACCAGAGACCAAATTGCAAACATGCGCTGGATTATGGAGAAAGCTAGAGAGTTCCAGAAAAACATCGACTTCTGCTTCATTGACTATGCAAAAGCCTTTGACTGTGTCGACCACAGCAAACTATGGCAAGTTCTTAAGGGAGTGCCTGATCACCTCATCTGTCTCCTGAGAAATCTCTATGTGGGACAAGAAGCTACAGTTAGAACTGGATATGGAACAACTGATTGGTTCAAAATTGGGAAAGGAGTGCGGCAAGGCTGTATATTGTCTCCCTGCTTATTTAACTTATATGCAGAATTCATCATGCGAAAGGCTGGGCTGGATGAATCCGAAGCCGGAATTAAGATTGCCGGAAGAAACATCAACAACCTCAGATATGCAGATGACACAACCTTGATGGCAGAAAGTGAGGAGGAATTAAAGAACCTTTTATTGAGGATGAAAGAGGAGAGTGCAAAATATGGTCTGAAGCTCAAGATCAAAAAAACGAAGATCACGGCCACTGGTCCCATCACCTCCTGGCAAATAGAAGGGGAAGAAATGGAGGCAGTAAGAGATTTCACTTTCTTGGGCTCCATGATCACTGCAGATGGTGACAGCAGCCACGAAATTAAGAGACGCCTGCTTCTTGGGAGAAAAGCAATGACAAACCTAGACAGCATCTTAAAAAGTAGAGACATCATCTTGCCAACAAAGGTCCGTATAGTAAAAGCTATGGTTTTCCCAGTAATGATGTATGGAAGTGAGAGCTGGACCATAAAGAAGGCTGATCGCCGAAGAATTGATGCTTTTGAATTATGGTGCTGGAGAAGACTCTTGAGAGTCCCATGGACTGCAAGAAGATCAAACCTATCCATTCTTAAGGAAATCAGCCCTGAGTGCTCACTGGAAGGACAGATCGTGAAGCTGAGGCTCCAATACTTTGGCCACCTCATGAGAAGAGAAGACTCCCTGGGAAAGTCCCTGATGTTGGGAAAGATGGAGGGCACAAGGAGAAGGGGACGACAGAGGATGAGATGGTTGGATTGTCTTCTTGAAGCTACCAGCATGAATTTGATCAAACTGCGGGAGGCAGTGGAGGACAGAAGTGCCTGGCGTTCTCTGGTCCATGGGGTCACGAAGAGTCGGACACGACTGAACGACTAAACAACAAGTGTTGAACATCTTTTGGTTGCAGGCCAGAGTTCCAGTTTATCAAGATTACTTTGAATGTTCCTTGATTCTGTCCTTTATGGTGTTATATGGTATAGCTATTAGGGTTGTGCACAGGCCCAAAAATTTGTCTTGTATCTCTGCGGCTGTTTTTTTAAAAAAATAATCAGTTATGTTTCTGAAACACTGTACTCTGTCTGCTTTGATCTTTGTTTCAGGTTCTGAGCTGCTCTGTATAAAACAATAACAGAAACTCTGACAATGGCTTTAACTTCTCCCCTTTGAGCCAAAGTGGATGAAATTTACAGTCACAGGAGCCCCTCTTCAATGGATCAAGGCTGCCAAATTACAGATAAATAAATCTAGGAGCCTTTGTAGATGAAATAAAAGGAATTCACTTTCTTCCATAACCCATGGGGAGAGTGGGGGTTTGTCTCTTGCTCTTTCATATCTTAAAATAATTAAGAGATGGCTGAGGTGTGTATTTTCCCCCTTCCTGAGCTTGTTTGATGGGCCAGCAGAGTTCCAGGTTTTTGTTTTTAAGATTAAAAAGCTCAAATTAAGCTTTTAGCTTTTCTAAAACAAAACCAACAAAAAACCCTGCTGCTATCCTTTAACAAAATAAATAAACAAATAAACAATAAACAAGGCAACGTATTGAATAGTCACACTTCTTGCAAAGCCCATGGACCTAGAGAAACACAGAGATAGAGGAAGACATAGAACCATAAGGTACACAGACTTACAGGGGAAAAACACAGTTCATAGGGGGCGTGATCTGACTTGAGGGGTTTATTGACATTTGTACTGATTACCACTTAAATTTGCAATCATGGTATTATGAACATACATAGAGGTCATGAAGCTTCTAGGGAGATGTGCATGTCTCATGCTGTACCTTTCCTAAGTGGTGATGTGGAGTTCAGGTTAGTCTTCACAGGATAAGTCTCCTTTGGTTGACAGGGGACTTGAGACTTACAGTGCCTTTGCAAACCAGGACCTCTAGTATAAATGTACCCTAATTGTTCAAGATGCCATACAGACAGTAAAGGTTTTATGAGAAGAGGATCTTACATAGTGTCCAATATTTGTAACGTCAGTGAAATCATACTGCAGATTTGACTTGGATCTAGAGGGAGGTGATTCTCCCTTCTTGCTTCAGACTGCTTCCCACCAAATTTTCAGGTTGTTCCAGGAACCTCCTTCAGGAACAGCTTTACAAAGGGGTGCAACATGTAGGGGAATTGGCAAAAAGCAAGGCTCCCTCCTTGCACAGAAGTGCATCTTGGGGTGCAAGCCATTGTTTCGTTTATGTGTTTGCTTAAGACATCTGCTCTCGCAGCCAACAGCTCTCCGATGTGGTACCCGTCAAAGTGGTTAGACTACAACTTCCATCATTCCAGTCCATTCTCCATGTTGGCTGGAACTGCTGGGAGTCTAGAGAGCACCAAGTTGGTTATCCCTGCTTTAGAGGCGCCATTATGAAATGTACTTGTGTGTGCTGTACATGATCAGTAGTGAAGAAATTCAGCTTAAAAAAAATGCTTTATTAAAAAGGAGTTGGATAATACTTCTCACGTGTTCTAAGCCCTTTTACCTATTGTCTTTCAGCTGTAGGTCCAGATTTTTCAAAAAACTTCTTGAAAAGGTTAACTTTTGTCAAAGTTGGTGGTGACGCTTCAATCGAGTGTAAACCCAAAGCTTCTCCAAGGCCTACCTTTACCTGGAAGAAAGGAAAAGAGATCCTAAAAGAAAATGAGAGGTAATCTTTTTAAAAAAAAATAAATAAAAATCTGCTGCTTGTGTTTTGTGACTGCTAATCTTTTTATACCTCCCATGAATATTGGTTTGACAATGATTGTTGTGAAAAGCTCAGGTGTTTGCTGTTAAGGGAGAAGGAAACCCTATTGATTCCTAAATTCACTGTACATCACCTGCCTCTTCATATAGTTTAAAGAACAGTATTTTTGTTTTGACTAGCTTCAAGAGAATAGCTATCAAAATACCATTTTAGAGAATCCTTCAGATCATTGCAATCTGTGAGAGTCCTGGTAAACAGAAATTATTTGAGGATCAACTAGGCAATTGCAGTGTTTAGTTTGTCATTTGCAGTGGCAGGGGAAGAGGGAGGAGGGCTGAGTTAGAGTAGTGACAGCCCTGCAGCATTGCCTAGTATTTGCGGCCTGCCATGTTTGGGGACGGGGGATTGAGGTGATACAGAGGAATGTGTAGATTGTAGCAATAGTGCAAATAATCAAGGGCTAAAGGCAGGGGGAGGGAGCTAGGGAAATAATTCAGGCTTTCAGCTCTGGATGAAAAGATGTCTTGATTCCAGGTGCATCAGGAGATAGAAAGCTGTCCCGCCAAGTTAGAAACAATGCAAGGACAGTCCTGGGAAACAAGTTTTTTCAGAGTCCAGGTCAACCCAGGGCTTGGCACTGCTTGGTCAATGAAAATTGTATTGGAGTATTGTAGGCAGTAATCCTTCTGAATCCCAATTGCTGAGGAGGACAGGAGGGGAGAATGCTGTTCCTCTCAGGTCCTGGGCTTCCACAGATATCTAGTTGGCTACCATGAGAATAGGATATATTTATTTCATAAAATTTATATAGCGCTTGATCGGTAATCTCAAAGTCCTTTACAAAGGTTACTGTACCAAATGGGTCTTTGGTCTGATCCAACAGTGCTCTTCTTTCTTTCTTTTTTAAAAAAATAATTAAAATAAATCCTTCCAGTAGCACCTTAGAGACCAACTAAGTTTGTTATCAGTATGAGCTTTCGTGTGCATGCACACTTCTTCAGATTTTAAGTAAGTCTTCTTTTAAAAAACAACACACATGCATTTCAGTTTTTGGAGAGACTTACGGTAGGCAAAAGTCTTAGAGATGTGGCTATTTTGTGAAAGATTTGTCAGTATCTTTTTTGAGATATATGCCGTAATAGGTGGTATCTGGGACTGAGTGTCTGGAGAAGTAATAGGGTGGATCTTATTAGGCTGCTGGGAATCTTCCTTTGGAGGCTGGCACTGACTGCGAAGCAGAACCAAGTGTGATGTTAGATGCTTGCCCAGGAGGCAAAGCCTATCTTGAAAAGGGAGCTTTATTGCTTGAGCTTTCTTACTCTTCCAGTGAAGCAGAGCTACTGTACACTACACCCTTAATGAATAACCTGCCCTGAAGACGTCTCTTACTGGTGCTTGAAAGCTATACAATTGCATTATTAGGAATTTTGCCCTGGGGTACAATTACATTATTGCAGTCATTAAAGATACTTCATCTCCATAATAATGGAAATCCTCTCTTGGAGGCATAACTGCATCAAAGTAAAGCTTAGAAACCTCACTCCAGAAGGTAAATTATGTATTGCCGTGGAATAAGATTCAGATATATATGTTAGAAATTCAACCTCATAAATAAAAGCTCCCTGGCAGCCATTGATTCAGAAGTTCTGGGGTTTCAGGAATACCCAGTGCCTAGTATTTAATTTCAAGAGCATATCTTCCCATATGATAACATTTCTCAAACTTACGCAAACCCCTTTCCCAGCAATGATTTAAGGAATTTGGAACAATCCATGATCCAAAACCTACTTTCCTTCTAGCCCTGAACATCCAGTTTGCATATTTCCCATTGTTTTATTGACACAATATCTCCCATTGTTCTACACACACACACACACACACACACACACACACACACACACCCCTACCTTAATTATTTAGTCTCTTCCAAATTCTGACAACTTCACATGGCCTTTTAAAATTTAGTTCAAATTCAATCTTGTCAGCATGTGATCAGTGTTTTCAGCAACATAGCTTACATATTTCACCTGTCTTGTATGTTTTTATAAATTATATACATACACCCAAATATCATATAATTGTGCTTAAAATTCTCTCTCACTTTTGGTGCCCTCCATATGATGATGCTAAGAACACATAGAATACCTGTGTTGGTGACCACTCCTCATCTTCCTCTGAATATACTTCCATTGCTGACCTTCCTCTATATTTTGCTTTCCTGCAAATTAAACCCACTTCTGTTCATCCTATTTTCAGCAGCTCTTATAAGGAATTCTTTCTTTTCTTTTTAAAATATATGGAAATTGTTGCTATGCCTGCCCTCTTAGAGGATCCATCTCTATAACCGCCAGGAAAGGAAGCTAGATGACAGGTAGCAATCGCCCTTTTAACTTTCAGAAGATTTTTCAGAAGATAAAGAGATTTAGAGCTATCTCTTTAGGACAAGTAGTCTGCACTTTGATTTATACACTGACTGCCTTTGTAAAGGGCTTATCTTCTAATGGGGTGCCTGAGGAATTTGATCTTTGTGAATTTTGATGCACACCTTCCAAATTGCACTGCCTTATGCACTTCCTGAATGTCCCAATGCAGCTGGTAGCGCAAAATGCATTTTTAAATGCAAAATTCAAATTTTGAGAGAAATTTCGTTACAACATATGAATTTAAATGCAAATATTCGTGCAGATTAACAACAAAAACAACAAATCTTAATGTACACATGTGACAGAACAGGCTTATGGATAAACATATGTGAACAGGACACAGATTGTAAAGACACCAAATCGCCCACCCTTGTATTCAAAATGACTTCCGTGTGGCAAATTTAAACCAGTAAATCAATGATCATGCCAGATGATAACAATCTGTTTTAGTGAATATTTGGCGCACACAAGGCACTGCAAATACCATTGTTAAAGCGGGCTTAGTTTTAGATAAATTGTATTTGGATAAGTGCAGACAAGTGAAAAGATTGTCTTAATTTACAGAATGCCCATGTTAATTCTTGCCTCAATGTGGCTTTTCATCTCTTCCCTCGTCACATCATATAGTTTCTGTTCAGACCTACAGTGTCCTGTCAGGTATCTCTTTTGCCATCAGAAACCCTTGCTTCCTCTTCTGTAGGCCAATTTGTTTTCTTGAAACGACTGTTCAAAATACCCACTCAAAAGAATCTCGTTTCCTAGTGCTTCTCAGCCAGTGTCTCCTGCCAGATGTGTTAATGGGGGTTTAAAAAAAAAGTCTGAAAAATGTATTTCCCATTGTTATTGTTCATATTCTGTTCTTACCCTACTAGTACTTGCCCTCTTTTGTATCCCTGCTTAGTCTGACTTTGTCTGACTTTGTTAAGGCTTTAAATGACCCCCTATATTTGCAGCAAAGATTATAAAGGTATACTACTCAGCTGAACTCATATAATAGCAACACCTGCAACAATACAAAGACTCTATATAAGAAGGCCTATGTTGTACCTTTGCGGTATGATTTGACCTAGATATGCTAGATGCTCTCAGTAGCTTCATGAGAATTCACTCGCCTCTCCTATTATACCGTAGTGCTGACATGCTTCATGGTATGTAAGAGCTGTTTTCTTGCATAGACCTGGACTGTTTTGAAACGAGACAAGTTACAAATGAAAACCTGAAGGCAACCATTCAGGGCTGACGCCTCCTTTTATTCTCCTTCCATCTGCTTAGTTATTATAAAGCAATAGTACAAGTTGCTGATTTTGCCCCCTTAAAAGACAGAGAAGATTGAAAGAAGCACCTGCTATGAATCCATGGTATTTGAACTTCCAGGGCCGAATAATCCGCATCATAGAATAGCTCCCTTGGTCTGAATGTGTAGCTTACAGATCTAAGTCCACATGGCAACAATATCAAAATCAGTTTATCACGTTGTACACTTTCTCCTCCCCCCCAAATAATGGGAGTTTTGGGTAACCAGGACTATCATGATAACTATGCACATTATTTGTAAACATGACCATTTGATGCTCCCTGAAAGGGCTAATCCATTAGGCAACCTAATGCAACATTCCCCAACCTGCAGCCCTCCAGATGTTTCAGATTAATTGTTCTGTGAAAGAGGACATCGATCAGAAAAAAATACATTATTTCTTCAGTTTATGCTAGTGGAATTATACTGACAGATGTTTCAAATGTAAAGTTTTGGAAGAGAGATAAGGTTCCTAAAAGGATCATTGCCCTATATGAATTCTCTTCTTTAAAAATGTAAGACTTAGAATCATAGTATTTGTAGAGTTGGAATGGACCCGAGGTTCCCCTGCGATGCAGGAATATGCACATGGCGCATATCGTGAGCCACCACATTGGCGTTATCAGCACTATGCTCTAAATCAGGGGTCAGCAAACTTTTTCAGCAGGGGGCTGGCCCACTGTCCCTCAGACCTTGGGGGGGGCAGACTATATATATTTTTTTGGGGGGGGGAATTGAACAAATTCCTTTGCCCCACAAATAAACCAGAGATGCATTCTAAATAAAAGGACACATTCTAGTCATGTAAAAACACGCTGATTCCCAGACCGTCTGCAGGCCGGATTTAGAAGGCGATTGGGTCAGATCCAGCCCCTGGGCCTTCGTTTGCCTACCCATGCTCTAAATAACGGATCTAACTGGCATTTATTTGATAGTGCTATTTCTTTCAGGCACAGAAACGGTCAAATAATGAATAACATGGATTTTCACCATTACATCCTGCCCTGATAAAGTGACTAATGGCACCATGTAAATAGCTGTCTGAAGTTTGAATTCGCCTGGAAGCATTTGAAATTGTTCTTGGACGAAAAGTTTATGAAATGGTGCACTTTACCTTGTATTTAAATGCGAAATAACTTGAGTGCCACCTATTTCGACTATTTTAGACCAGGAAAAAATTTAAATGTTCATAATTACTAGGGGGTAACCCCCACTGAATAGACTTTATTTCTGAATAAAAAGTC